GTCTAGACCGAACTCCTTACAACACTATTTGTATATCTGCATATCACTTCATGTTCAAAGTAGACCTGTGAGCAGGTCTATCAGGGTCCTAAACAAAGGGTTCAGCCTGGGTCGTCTCCTCCCTGCTGACCTTTGACCTGCACTCTGTCACATGTAGATCAGCTTCAGGTTCTGGTTCTGGTTCAGGTTCATTCAGTCGAGGCTTAATTTCCCTCCTGCACAAATCTTTCTTTCTTTTTGTTTCTGATTTTATTGAATTTTACAGATTTTGTTTATTTCTGAATTAACTTCCTGCTGTCCTATTATGAAATCTTATTGATTATTGATCAAAGACTCCTAATGATGAGTTTTGGTTTAGACGAGCACACTGTAGCCGACCCCCTCAGACTCCGATGACAACAGTATTGCTCGTATTGATGACACTATTGACAACAGTATTGATCTCTGTAGCTCAAAGTGAGTCGTCCTAAGATGACCTCTGACCTGTTTCTATGTTCATATAATAGTGCCTTGAAAATTACCCCTGACCCCGCCCCCTCCTGCCTGTCACAGTGACATCACCAGAGACAAAGTTTTTTGTACGTCTGTCTGTGTGGAATGTTTCTTCTTCTGTGAAAATAAAGATGAATTAAAGCTTGTCTCAGACGTTTCCTTTGATCCTAACCTGTGACCTTTGACCTCTTCACTCAGCCTGGATGAACAGGACAGGAGGATATGATGTCACAGTATAGTATATAGCGTGAGCGCTAATTGTAGTGTGATGTCAAAATGCAGTATGATGACATCACACAGGACACAGCAGCATCTTGAACAGTTTTAATATAAAAACGCACAGTCTCATTCTGAAGGTCAAAGGTCAGCTGCTTCAACAGTTCATACTGCTCTTCATCCTCCTCTTCACTTCTTCTTACGAACCACCGTCCACCCATCCTCTTCATCCTGAGGAGGAGGAGGATCTGTCCTGCTGACTGATGGACTGGAAGATTCACACTCCATCGCCTGAACACAAACACATCCATACTTCATCATCAGTAATATTACTGCGTACTTCATCATCATTAGTAATATTACTGCGTTCGTCTTCATCAGTAATATTACTACGTACTTCATCATCAGTAATATTACTGCGTACTTCATCATCAGCAGTAATATTACTGCGTACGTCTTCATCATCAGTAATATTACTACGTACTTCTTAATCAGCAGTAATAGTACTACGTACTTCATTAGTAGCTGTAATATAATATAGTAATGTAATATAATATCAGTCTAAATGAATTCTACTAGATCAATACCCAATTACTTGGATTAAATCACTGCTGTAAACTCCTATATATAATAATAATTCCTGCTTTTAGTTATTAAAAATGTCCTTTTCATTTGTGTGAAAGATGTATTATTGATTATTATTGACTGATTATTGATTATTATTGTAAGAAATGACAGACTGTAACACTGAGGGAGGAACTTATGATAAAAATATCTAATAAAGTATAAATTATATAATAAAGATTTTGAAATGGAACACACGTGACGCTCATCATCCTCACACAAAGTAAGTGACCACACTCACCGCCAACTCCCCTTCCCCAATTTCCCCAATTTCCCCCACAAATACTCTGTATTCAGAACCTCAATTACATAAAGGAACAGAAGTACGGGAAGTAAAAGTACTGGAAGTAAAAGTACTGGAAGTAAAAGTACTTGTATACCAGATATTACAGTTTACTACTTTATACTGGAGTATTATAATAATATAGTACTCAGTAGTACCACCAGTGGTCAGATCAAACTGACCAATCACAGCTCTGTATGTGAAACGTACCTGTGTGTCATCATCGCTGTCATCAGACTGTGTGGGTGGAGCTGTGACCTTTGCCCTCTGACTCGTCTTCTGTGTCAGAGTGCTGATGGTGTGTTTGAGCTGCTGCAGCGCCCCCTGCTGCCACTGACTGAACACCTGCAGCAAACTGACCGACACCTGGAGACACACACAGTGACATCACAGGGTACATGTGACATCACAGGGTACATGTGACATCACAGGGTACATGTGACATCACAGAGGACCTGTAGCCTCAGGGTTCCTCAGGGTTTTGTTCTGGGTTCCTCAGGGTTCCATTCTGGGCCCTATGTTCTCTATATCAACTACAGTTATGCAGACGACACTCGACTCGTTCTGTCTCTCTCCGATCTGAAACAGTACTCATCGGTCAACTGATCAATAATTCATATCAGCTCATGCCATTAATCAGATGTTATAGATTCACTCTGTATTGACTACTTACTCACTGGTTTCCTACTGGTTACTTAATGGTTTCCTACTGGTTTCCAACTGGTTTCTTACTTGTTACTGTAATAGCAATTTTTAAGAACCTATACAACCCCTTTGTTGTGGTTCTGGAGGCAGACACCCTCTCCACATTTAAGAGTAGGCTTAAGACGTTCCTCTTTGATAAAGCTTATAGTTAGGGCTGGATCAGGTGAGTCCTGAAACCATCTCTTAGTTATGCTGCTAATTAATGCTATAAGGAGTTTCGGTCTAAGACCTGCTGTATTTGAAAAGTGTCCTTTAGATAACTTCTGTTATGAATTGGCGCTATACAAATAAACATTGAACTGAATTTGACCTGGTCATAGTAAAACCATACGCAACTGTTAAAGAGGTTTTATATGGTAAATGGTAATGGATCTTACTGTATAAGCGGCCTTTCTAGTTTTCCGACCACTCAAAGCGGCTTTACACTACGTGCCACATTTCACCCTTTCACACACATATCACACAGCGATGGCAAAGGTCTGAGCACAGCCCTATTGGCATATAACCTTTACCCTGTTTCTACTAACTCTTATGTCCAAGTAAACAGCGGGATGTGAGGACTTCACTAAGAAAGCCATGGACATGATCATCTACCACAACTCAATCTGTTATTGATCGTGATTATTGATCAGTCTCGTTTTACTGTCCCAGAACTGAGGAATGTGTAACTGTGTTTAGAGTGACGCTCCAACAGGGATAAAACCATACTGCTTCTTACAATCTCGGCTCTTTCGGACTTTCACATACGAGAGTGTGTGACGGTTGCGTTGAGACTATTCATGGATGACTTGAATAAAACTTTACAGATAGACAAGATCATACTTTGTACACAACATATTCACATCTTAAGATAGCCAACATTAGCAAAACACTAGATAACTGATGATTGATGTAAATTAGCTATCTAGTTTTGCTAACATTAACTATCAGATGTAACTTGATGGTTAATGATTGATGTAGATTAGCTAGCTAGTTAGCTAGTGTTTTGCTTACATAAGCTAACTTAGGAAGAGACCATAAAAACAACTGAGACTGCATTTGCAATCTCAGCACGGTAGCTGAATGTTGGGCATTAGATATTGGTGATCTAATGTTACTTGATGCTGCAGTACCAGCAATTGTGTACGTGATGGATATCTCTTGATTACTGACACCACTGATCACAATAGTCACTCTTCCAATTAAATGATTATGTCAGAACTTCCTAAAAAAATGTTTCCATCTCACATTAAGCTCATTACCTCTTTTGTGAAATTGAGGAATTTTCTTTTTCTCAATCAACCTTTTCTAATGCGATATTTCAAAATGTGCATAAAAATACGCTGATTGAAACACAGCTACTGAAACATTTTATTTGTTGTTTACTTCTTATGACCTTCAGTCAGTAATCAACACAAAATAGGCATAAATATGAACAGAAGTCTGTTTTTGTCAATTATCATATTTTTTTCTAAACTGAAGAGATGAAACACACTTATTTTCTCCATGAATAAAAAATAATTTTGCCACTATCTGTTGCTGCTCAAAAGAGTACTTCAGTAATTCAACATTTCACTTCCATTAAGTTGGGGGACTCATGAAAGATTAACAAAAGAATGTTGAAAAGAATGTTGAAAAGCCAACACGTGCCAAAAGCTGCAGCTCTTCTAACGGCCACTTGAGGCTGGCTCCAGCAGTGAGTCAATTTCCATAAGGCCCCACATTAAAATGCCCAACTTTACAGCAGAAATAAACATGTTCCACAGCCTGCTACACAAAACGCTTTTGGTCTCTATAGCCAATGTCCATGTTCAACTGTAACTGACTACTAACACTGTTGAACTCTGCATTTGATGACCTTGGAATGAGAACAGGAAAAACTACGGTGGCGGCAAAACTCATGAAGAATGCAAAAGGCCCCATCTACAACCAGTGTTTGGTTTGCTCTTCAGGAACTTATGGGTGATTTTAGAGAGACTACTTACATACTTTGTACAGTCTATGGAGATATCCTGACTATTAGCCCCAGTAATATGGTTCAATTCCTAAAACTGCTGCATCCTAAATTTTCCATCAATTTGTTAGGCCCTCCTTGCCAATAAATGCCCACATAGTCAAGACTCTATAACCCCAGTTTGGATTGCAGACTCTGTTATTAATGTGTAGTCTCTGTGTAGTCCAAGCCAAGGAGTAATTTTTTCAAACTTTATACAACTGTTGTTTGCGCGGCTTTGGCTCAGAGGTAGAGCGGTTGGCGGTTCGATGCTCTTGCTAAATTGCTCCCCCCTATTGAACCAAAAATTGCTCCTGATCATCAATTGCTCCCAGTGTATGACTGTGCTTAGTTTCCGTTCAGGTGAGCAGTTGGCACCTTGCATGGCAGCCACTGCCATCAGTGTGTGAATGTGGTGTACAGCGCATTGAGTGGTCAAAAGACTAGAATGGCACTATATAAGTACAGTCCATTTGCCATTTACCATTTGTGACAGGCTGAGTAGTATCCTCTGAGTATGTAAAATTAGTAGAGTGCCCCTTTTAACACCATAAAACACCTGGCTATCAGTCAACATAGTCAACGTAGATAAGGGAGTAAAACTCTTCTGTTTTACTTTTAAAAACTCTTCTGGTGCAGTGAGGGGGGTGTGCAGAACATCACATCATTAGAAGATATGAAAAATATCATTGCATCATTAACTTTCAAAGAAAGCAACTTCAGTTCTTGTCCATGAGAAATCTTTCTATCCAGATTAGTTAGCTGCAGTGCAGATTTGTAAGCAGTTGGATATTGGCAACATAATAAACATTAAATGGGAGTTACATGGATCAATTTGCAAGGCGTAATTCACTTTAAGTAACTGTGCTGTTTGTCACTTTATGTTATGTGAGACAAGTGCAGCAAGTTGGACTGTGTTAGTGAATGAGACTATAAATATTCCTCTGAGCCTGATGGGGCTCTGGCTCAACAAGGCTGCAGCGGCTCCAGTTCAAGCTGCAGATCCTCTGGGTGAAAGCTGTAAACACAACTGAAGAATGCTGCTTGTTAAAACAATGTCACCCCGAGACCAGCTTTGCCTCCTTATTGATTCATTAATTTCAACACATTTTTCACACACTTTCTCACTCCAACATTCATTGTGGGGACTTGTAATATCAGAACTGACAGCTACGAATGAATTATACATGAACTTTGTGGCTGTAAGAGATTTGTTGAACATTTGTCATGTTATGGAATGCTGAAATGAAAAAAATGCATTTTGACGTGTCATGGTCTTAGACCCTTACAAACATATCAGAATCTAGCCATACACACCATAAAGCTAGTACATTTTCATAGATGTTTAGGGTTTCTTTACTTCCCAGATGGAATTCAGTATCATAATATTTCTGAATAATCAAATTGAGCGGTTTAATCCGACTGTCTTCCATACGGTGGCTTGAAAATTTACATGTAATTGTATGTAATATATTCTAGCCCAAATTGCAATATAAAAAGGTACAGGAAACATGACTTAGAATCACACTATTTCATAGAATTTTATGGGAATACATGTGATGTACTGTGCAAAACTTTTGAAGTTACACAAAAATGAAATAACATGGTTTACAAAGTGCTTTGACAGAACACAGCAAGAATACAATTTACAATTCCAAAGGACGATAATATAAATTGCATAAATATTGAAATAAACAGAGGTAATGATACAAATAATAAAGTAGGTGAAATAATTAGAGATGGAATAAAAAAAGTTAGGCGGAAAAAAAAGAAATGGAATAAATAAAATAAATAAAATAAGCAAATACCATCCAAAGGTTCTCAGAAGGCTGCGCTCTTAAAGTCCAATGTGTACTGTAACATTTAGGAGCCTGCCTTCTATATTGTTCTATGTTCTATATTTGCAAGTTAATTTACAATACTGGCAAGATCTTAATGTTGACACAGTAAATTCAGCATAATATACATTTCTACCAGTTCTACCAGTGCAACAGCAGAGTTATATCACCCTCTGCTG